AGATTGGTTAATCAACTTAATGATGTTTCACTAAGTTAGAACTACTCACTAATTGATGAGAGCCTTCTTTTAATCAATGGGTTTGGTAACGTTTAATTGCTTACTTGCTTAGCAATGGTAGAAGTCGAGTATGAGAAGGGAACTCATGCTTGCGCATGTAGGATGTTACACGGGTTAATTTAACTACTAAAATGAATGAGGGTTACAACTTGTGTATCTTCCCTAATCTTGATTAAGGACTCAACCTAAACTTGCTATATGAACATGATGATAAATTTGGTAATTCTTGCTCTTGCGAGGGGTAGGTCACTATGAGTGGGGGATCTCAAGTGACATAGCTCGTGGAGCAGTTAAGGACCGTGCATTGGGATACGTGAGTCCGAGTAACCGCCCATACAGACCACATGTCGCATATGGGAGCGGCATGCCTAGTAACTAATTGCGACTGATCTATCCATGAGACTGGCAAGAAGGTGGCGCCGGTGAGTGGGTGGAAGCACTAGCAGTAACCGGGCACCAGTCGAACCTTTCATGAGATATTTGGGCCAATTTAGGGAAAGGTTGGAAATCGTGAGGCAACCCTTATTCCTGGATCTGGAGTTCGGTGGTTAGTCCCGTATTTCCGTGTGGATACAAGTTGTACACCTCTACAGAGTTTTGAAAGCTTGAAGTCCCTCGGGACAGACCCCTTTGGTTGTTCCTACTCAATATACCCATGATAGTGATAAAGATGGAACTTGATGATGATATGTTCTAATGATCTTGATCACTCGGTTTGGATATCGTACCTTTTAATGCTAATATCTTTAATAATGAATCCATAGCATGTCATCTTAAGAAACGCCATATGATTTTCCATAAATGTACAAATGCCTGATAATACCCTTGCATCCACCAAATATCTATATGTTGGACTAAAGTCCTGCGAGTACGAAATGTACTCATGGTGCTGTCGTTAAGTTGTTTTACAGGTGTTGTTGTCTTGGTGGACGTGAGGTAATGCTCTATTCACCGCTGCATAGTAGACCTTGGATTGGGCGAATCCAAGATGAGCTATGAGTTAACTTCGATAAGAATTCGAGTGAATTGCCGAAGAGTTGAACCTAGTGGGAGAAACTAAAATTTTGTATACCGTGTGAATCATGTATTTTCCTGTAATCATAATCATCTTGATAGCCGGGGATGATGTTGGGCGTTATATGTGTTGGTTTGTCACATGGGGTGTTTTGTGTGACTCGACCGTTACAAAGATCCTGAAGTGTCGTGGGAGTGGCCGCGACAGCTAGCTTAATTGACATCTTCTAACAAAAGCATATAGATGAGAAATAAATACAGAGTCGCCGAGCCCACTGTTTGAGGTACCTGAAAGCTGATTTTGTTCTTGGTCCAAAAACAAAGTTTGTTGTACATATCTAGCTCTACAATGTTGCTTAAAGGTCAAACCTCATAACTGGTACAGAAATCATTGTTTCATCTTGGTCAAGGTAGCATCTCGATAAAGCTTAAATGATTCTTTTCGGTCCATTAAAGCACCTTCTTGACACTTGCTCAATATGAACCCTTTATAACTTTTGTTAATGAGTTTATTTAGAGTTTTTGAGCAAGGTTGCAAGGTTTGGTTGACTTCACATGTCCCTATTCACTTTAACACCGCAATTCCATCGATGATAGAACTTACTTGAGTCCAAACACGCTGCTTAACTAGTGACTAATACCTGGGGTGTTACAATAAACGCGCGAGCAGTTTCTCGGATTGGTTCAAGAAACCAAAGGCCTAGGGAGAAGGCACACGTATGTGAAATGAACTGAGAAAAAAGAGAGTGAGGGAGAAGGAGACTCGGGTTTAAGTGCCAGAGAGAGGGAAGGTTCAGGCTTGCTTAAGAAGCAGGCGTTGGCGACGATGGCACCGCGGCTGGTGCTGACGCCTTCACCTGCGATGATAATGTCGCTTCCAGAAGTGCCACTTCTCCTGCTTCTTTGCTCCCTCTGCTCTGTGGTACTCAGTGGCGGACCCAAGATTTAGGTAAGACTAGGGCCAAAACTCTAGTAGCCAAAGCCAAAACATTGGAGTTTTTCTAAGAATCTAGCTATCTACTTAATTTAGTTGCCCAGCCTTATGATCTATTTGATCCCTATGACTAATAGTTAGCTGCTAAAAATTAGTTGAGGAACTGTTTAGATCCTCAAGTAATAAGTTCAGTTAATGTGTTATTCTTACCTACCAACAGCTAACAATTAGCTATTAGCTTGTTTCTCCTAACTAACACAACTAATAGTTAACTCAGTGTATTCAAATAGGACCGTAGGACGTCTCGGATAATTTAAGATAGCACTAGCTGTATCAGGTCTCATATCCCTCCTCCCTTATAACCGACTGTAGGAGATCTCTCAAAATCAATCTCAGTATATAAGAGTGTTGTGCTACAACATATTACTTAAAACTCATCCTTTATACTCCCTCCATCCCAAACTATAAGCCATTCTAACTTTTTTGGAGAATCAAAACATCTCAAATTTGACCAAATTTAGATAATAAAATAATAACATCTATATGTTACTAAATAAGTATCATTAGATTCTTTATTAATTATATTTTATAGTATAACTATTTGATGTCATAAATCTTGTAATTCTTTCTATAATTTTAGTCAAACTTTAGATGCTTTAACTCTCCAAGAAAGTTAGAATATCTTATAATTTAGAATGGAGAGAGTATTTGTTATTACACATGGTGCCCACATGTTATATGTTATAGTCAAACCCATTTTCTTCTTTGTTCTCATGGGAGGTCTTCCTCCTCTCCAGCACTTCTCCTCGAACGGTGCGAGGCCTGACCGCAGGGGCTTGATGACAAGTACATGCCTGTGCGTTGCAAGAGGCCATAAATTTTTATCCATGAAAATAATAAAAAGCTAATGAACGACTTTGCATTAGGAACTCTAAACTATTTCTAACTTAGATTTAGACCTTTTCTATGTAGTTATTTATCAACTCGAACCATATTCTCTTTCAATTTACTTCCTACATCCTTCACTTTCTCCATGCTCCATGTTGTCCTCCTCATCATGCCATCTTCTCTGGCGTTGCGTGGCGCCATCTTCACGTCAGCTGCTATCTCCACCAGCATTGTCCGCAGGAACAGTGAGCAGGTCAAGGCGCAGACGATAACCTTTTTATTTTTAGGTGTGTAGAGATATGCCAATCCTATGGCGAATTTTGTACTACCAATTTAAGTAGTAACCATATAAAAAATAACGGTACGTATAAACCATGTAACATTCTCGTAAAACAATGTTCTTATTATATTAAAGATAGACTTTTCGTGGATAATTGATCATAAACATAATGAAAAGATATACGAATTGAAAATTAAACACTAACTATGTTGCAGAGGACGTGACTAATTCATTGTTGTTGCTGGCCGGAAAATAACTTTGTGTGGTTCCATCCCGTACTTGAATCCGAACGTGCTAAAGTAAATCAAAATGGTGTATCTCTTCAAGCGATCGTTACTTATTTGTTGAACTACAGAAGAATCAAATTCATAATAGATTGGATCAACTGCACTTACCTTTCCTTTTTTTCCCCGTTCTGTTCTGCATAAAAAAACTCACGTCATGGTCCTGTCCATCCTCCTGTACGACGGTCGGTAGGTGCCCTCGGCCGCTCGGCTCAACGATAGGGATTGGCCGCAGCAAGCCAACAACAGAATTAGCAAAGATGGGGAGCGGATAGGTGAAGGTCGTCGAATCACTGCGTCTATTTGCCTTCCTTCCAACTGGGCTCAACGATGGGATTGGCCCAGATTTTCCAACAGATGAGAGATTTTTAGTTTTTCAGAAAACACCGCCGGACGCCGACCATGGCGATGGGAAACTGAAGCCGAATCGCCATGAGGAATCACTGCGGGGACGTATGGCGTCGCACGAGATCCATGATTTGTCTTCCTCCGCGGTTAACGCCGCTGGGCTTCGCAGCGTCGGAGCTGTGTGGCCACCCGGCGCGCAGGAACAGGCACCAGCAGATGATCCAACCTATGGCCTGATTGGCTTTGACGCTTGCTTTCGGTTCCGATCCGGGAGCAGGCGAAAGGTAGGCCGACGCGGGCTCTTCCGTTTCGCTGTCGAGCTTGTATATATATATATATATATATATATATATATATATATATATATATATATATATATATATATATATATATATATATATATATATAAAGAAGATTTAACTTGTTGGAGAGTCAAAACATCTCAAGTTTGACCAAATTTATATACTAAAATAATAACACTTATGATAATAAATAACTATCATTAGATTCTTCATTAATTATATTTTGATAATATGTAATATTGGTATCATTAGATTTTTTATTAATTATATTTTTATAATATGTAATATTGGTCAAAATTGAGATATTTTTGACTCTTTCAAAAATGTTGCAATGCCTTATAATTTGAAATGAAGGGACTAGCATTTATCTGTAGCATCATAAGGCGTATTTTCTTGTGGTTATTATTAATTAGGGATCTAAATTTGTACAAGCATCAAAATGTGTTGTGACGGCGAGAAGACGTTTTAGGCCGGCGGTGGTTGAATTAGGAGAGTCCAAAGCATACCAGCTCTTCGGATCAGCAACACGATGGATGAAATGAAGAACGCAGGGTACATATCGATCGAACACATATACACATGCATGACTACATGAGACCAAACCAACGAAATCAATTTTTTTTTCTTAGAAAATGTGTTGAGAGGACAGACACGCATGACTACAAAATACTGAAATAGTGCGACAAACAACCTACCCACCCCAGTTAATTAGCAACTTCGCTCATACATTATTCGAGAAAAAAATACCTCGCTCGCTCATACATGGAGGGGAACATAACAGAGAACGAAACCACCATAAGACACGCTTCCTTATTCAAAGCCAAAGCACGACTCAGCATCGTCGCGACGCAGACGCAGCGCAGGGTCCAGGGGGGCGGCGTAAATTAAAGTCAGTCTTGACAACTGGATGTGGCTTCAAGGCAGATCCACTGGCCGACGAAGAGCTTCTCGCAGCAGAGGTTGGGGTTGAAGCCGAGGAACTGGTCCTCAGTCACCCCCGCGCCCTCCCTCACGGAACAGCACGTCTCGCCCGTCTTCACCCCGTGCACCTTGTTGCAGGTCAGCTCCAGCTTTGGCTCCGGCTCTGGCTTTGGCTTCTCCGGCTCCGGCTTCTCACAGTGGTCGCAGGTCGGCTCCTGCTCCAGCTCTGGCGGCGCCGCAGCATCCGCCACGTAACCTGCGGCATTTTATTCATTCGGCACGCACGCTTATCATACGGACAGACAACGAGCACGGGCACAGATGCATTTCATGCCAGATGATTGCTTGGACAATGGGTTGGAGTATGTAGCTGCATACCTCGTCCATGCGCATCGCGGCGGAGCGCCGCCATCTTGTTGGGATGCACGGTGGGCCTCGCGTCGGCCCCGGAGATGGCGACCGCCACGAAGAGGGACGCGATCAGGAGGAGGGCGGCGGCGGCGGCGCGGTGGTTCACCATTGCGAGTGCTGCCGCTTCAACCGTGCAAGCAGATATATTCTGTGTAGAAGAATTGAGCTCGAGCTATATGCTTTATTGCTTGGATGGTTTGGTGTCGCAAAGAGCATGCTTCACGCCTTCTTATAGCTTGGCGAATGCGATAGCTGATAAGATGTATGTAGTAGTACGTGACGAATCGATGGACGGGTGAATCGGTGACGCTGCTATGGACATGTCGCCGCAGCACATTTTTTAACCGGCGTCTCCCATGGCAATTTGGCCCTGGACCAGCAAGTGAATCCGAAGGGGGTGTTTATGATTGCAATGGAGCTCATTTGGAATATTCTATTTTTTAATAAGGGAATAAGATATAATTATTAGTGTGTGTATATATATATTTTTATATATAGGAGAGTATATTCAGTAGCCAGCTACAAAATAAGTCATTCTGTAGCCACCTTCATTTACGATAATTTTATATACTAATTTACGATAAAGTAAATACATATTTACGATATTTGTGTTACTATAACATATGAGGATATTTACCGTAACGTTATAGTAAATCACATAGTAAGGAGTTACTATAATCTCGTGAATTAGCATAGCAATTATCGTAACTCAAAGTGGCCACAGAATAAGTTATTTTATAGCCAGCTGCAGAACAGTAGTTATATATATATATGTGTATATATATATATATATATATATATATATATATCCCACAACTAAAAAGAACAAAACGTGGACATTTTTGGTGCGACATTACAACATGGACCCATAGTTCTGCCTGCTGTGATCCATCACCCGTCGCTCCTACGCCCGTCCTTGCGAAGGAAACAAACCTCGCTCCCGTGGTTTCAAAAGGAAACAACTATGAAAAGAATGTGCAATCGTGATCAGCGAAAAAATTCCCGCCCGGCTCCACGAAATCACGACACCTCCTGTTCCACCTTCCTAAATCCCTCACCCTCTCGCTCTCCTCCAATCACGCGATTCCCCGTCGCGACGCGTGCGATCTCCTCCAATCACGCGAGCATCTCCTCCACCTACGCTCGACCGCCTCAAGTGAATCCCCAAGCCGGGCACAGCGAGGCGCAGCCGCGTCTCCCCTCCCTCCATCCGCTGGCGAGAGGGTGCCTCCTCCCTCTCCTCGGCCACCGGCTGCAGCCATGGCCTGGCTGGCCACGACCCGGCGTAGATCTAGGACTGGCGCGTGCCGCCTCGGCCCGCTCCTACTGGCCTACCCTACCGACGTCGACGCCTCGCTGCTACCACGCCGAGGCCACCGCCTACCCCGACCTCGGCCCTGGTCCCATCTGTGAAGGGTGTTTGGTCTCCGTCGTCCTGCCTTTACCACAGTGGTTCATAGGGCGGAAGAAGCCCTAGCAGCAAACGGCCTCAGCGGCGGTAGTGAGGGGCGCATGGAAGGAGAAACCGATGATAGGGATGGCACTAGGGACTCCCCAGCTCTGCCCTACCATTGCCCATTGCTCCGACGGCGCCGCCCCACCACAATTCCAAGTGTGAGGCAGGCATGAAGGATCCGCACGCGTGACACGACCAGGGTCTGCTGGTCACCGTGCCAAACCCCAGGCTGAGGTGAGCCCCTGCCTCCTCTCCTCTCCCTGTCCATGTCCCTTTCTCTCTCTCTCTACCAGATCTGTGGTGTCCTTCTTGAAGCAGCAGGCGGTGGAGGAGCTGCTCCGGTGAGTGGAGGAGCTGGAGCAGGCGGAGGCGTGGCTGCTCGGAGAGGAGGAGGCCGCGGAGAATGAGTCGTGGGTGGCTGCCCAAGGAGGAGAACGCAGCGTGGGGCTGCTGCAGGAGCTCGAGTATGTGGGATTGCCCTCGCCATTCGTGCTCCCGTCGGCCAATCTCGATGCCGCCTTTCATGTCACCCAAGTCCGGCGACACCCCCTTTGCCAGCATCTATTGGGTTGTAAGCTTATGAACCATCACATGGTGGAATGCTTTGACCCTAGCCCTGGATCAACTCCTGCTCGATGTCTCAAATTCAGAGCCTCTGGCAAAAATATTTGCGTACTCCTTGTAGTGCTGTGCAGGAAGCATGCCAAGAAGGGCTTGATGGCAGTAAGTTTCGTCCTGAAGGTGAAGAGGTTGCAGTCGTCGTACACTTGTACCTAAGGATGAAAACGGTCGAACTCGGTCGAAAAACTCCTCAACCGTTTTCTACTTTTACATTTGAAATATAAAGAAAGCGGAATGGACAAGCCGACGCGAAAACAAACACGAACTTACGGAATATCTAGAATTTCGAAAACGAACCAATTCGAGCGGAATTATGTCGAACACGGTCGGTATGCGAAAATTCAATACGAAATACCGACCCACAGTGCATATCATTAAACAAGTGCACGACCAAATATATAACAAGTTCACAACTAACAAGTGCATGATCTAGTTCAAGTGCATAGCATTAAACAAGTGCACGACCAAATACATAATAAGAGAGATGAGGTCATGCGCCGTCTATAAGAAGCAGCTAGTCACCAAGAGAAAGAAGCATAACTGCGTGGTGAGCAACTGTGTAATTGGGCTGCCATGCAGTTGGCCAAATTCGGTTTAAACCGAAGGAATATTTCAAATTAAAAGTAGAAAAGTGGAAAAATGTGTGTTTTCTACTTTTACATTTGAAATCTGAAACATCTCAAATGCGAAAGCGAAAACGATAAAGTCGGACAAAAAAATACGGATTCGATCGGATTAAATATAGAAAACGATGCGGTTCAGTTCGGGATATTTCCGTTCCATTTTCATCCTTGCTTGTACCTGTTCTTGGAGCTCAGCTCAGCCAAGATATTAGAGGGAGGTTGGTGGTGTCATCACTGGAGTGTGTTCATGGTAGTTTACCTCCTTTGCGTGACAATTGAATGTGTGGGCTTCAGAACACAGGTGCAGACATATCAGTCGCTTACTTGTTAATTGCTGTGGTTCATTACAACTATGAGGTAAAATGCATACTTGCTAATCATTGTCCATTTCATGGCTCAGAACTCATGAGTGTGAACTGCGCAGTGAAAATTTAGTTCAGTTAAAATGTTAAGTGCTCAGCGGCATTTATGCTTGCTGCAGTTAGATGGCTTGGGTCGGGTTGCTTCTATTTAGCCATATATGTATGTAGAAGAAATAGAGATATTGCAAAGTCCTTGCTTGTCATTGATGCTGATATGACAAGTGAAGGCATGCCCCTATTGTAAAAATGTTTTCCTATTGCAACCAGGATTGTTATGTTTTTGCTTCCTGAGCTGATATGCCAAAACTAAAATTTGGATGTGAGTATATGACCAAGTATTGGCCTATTTTACTGCCTTCTGAGTCATGTTTCCATTTTAAATGAAAAAATACAGATAGAAATCATATATGGATTTTGTTGCTGATTTGTATTTTGAGGATTCAGCTATTCAGTCCAATGGGTCACCAACAATTTTTGCAAATTTAGTAGGCAATATTGAGCTGACAGAGGAACTTGATTAAACACCATGGTAAACAAAAATCACATTAGAATTTATAGGATCTTAGTCAACGTTAACAAAAATCTAAGGTATTGCCTATATTTTATTATGCTGGGTGATCTTATTTGGTCCATTGGCTATTGGAGGATGTTATTTTGTCATTAATCTTGTAACAAAAAGCACCAGCAGCAACCTTTTCTGTTCAGAGCAAGTTAAAGTAGGCATTATTAGTCGGACCAATGTTAGAATTGTGATAAATTTCCTTTTTGTTCATCTACTGCAGCTCTGACTCCTTTTCAACGGGTGAAGCTGGATAGTGTCAAAATTGCTGATGAAAGGCTTTAGGACAACTCCTATTGGACTAAGGTGCTTTACTGCTTTGTTGGTCATGTGTGCACATGCGGGAGATTTTAGCATTTATCAAGCTAAGCTTTAAGCACTAGAGCTAGCTTCTTGTGCTTATTGACTATCAACTTATTTGTACTCTAGACCTTAAAATGCTAAAAAAATCCTAGGAATGGGCACATTTAGGTGCTCAATCAGGTTTTTTATTTTTTTGTTTCTTCATATCCATGTTTGGTGTAGCTCCTGTGCCGTGTTTCATATTGGTGTGATTAGTTCTATTACTTGCTGCATTAGTCATGTGCTTATTTTAACAACTAAAATGGAGCATGGTCCAAACACCATCATTCAGGCCTATTGAGTTTGTCATATGTGCTAACAGTAACAGCTTATACAAGTTTTAACCTAGATAACCTTATGTTCAATCCTTGAACATGGACATTAATGAAGGTGTATTTAGCTCAGATGCATTATTGCACCCTCAAGAAGTTCCATGTTATGAATCACAACATATAGTACCCAGATTTACCATTTTAAATTTAAGATGTTTCACCACACATTTGGTTTGGAATGGTCAATGTGCTTGCCATAAATTATTTTCTTAAGTTTGTTTTCTCTTTGTGCAGTTAAGAGATTTCTAGAGCGTTGTTTACTTTCTTGTGGCCTATGGCCATCCCTGGTCGATTAGTCGATTTGTCGAAAAGGTAAGAGCATCTTTGCAATCAATTAGATATCTTGACCTATAAGCACGGAAGATAGAGGGCTTGATATGGGTTTCCAACCCAAGTTATGAGAATTGTTGAGCAAATGGACATGGATCCACCTGGTTTCAGGCTATAAACCATACTATTTTGTGTGACTTTCCCAAAGAAAATCCAGGTTATCTATTCTTTTTGTCTTCTTACCATAACTGTGATGTTAAACCTATGCATTGCATGCATATAAGCATCCCTGTATAAAATTAAAAGCTGTTCTTCCTATAATTTATGGTCCTCATCACACTTTTGTATTGTTTCTTCTTACTGTTATCAAGTGTGACTTACTGCCGTCCTCATTGATTTAGATATGGCATCAGGATTCACGTAGGCTTCATAAGCATTGGCATAGTCTGCAACAAGAGCTTCCTAGCAGGGTGGACTCTTCGAGGACACTTTCACATGTCATGCCACTGGCTCTTTAACAAGCAGCCAAAGAGCACATGTAGCC